TAATTCCATAAGACGCAAACCCCACAGCACCCAGGGCCACATGGTGGATGAATGAAAGGCTGAAGGCAGAAACCAAGGAGACCTGGAGGACACAGGATCCTGCTTCAAGGAAGCTGCCTCTCAGTTCATGCTGAGAGATGCTCTTCGGGGCTGTAGGCTCACTGTTGCTAGAACTTTGTTCATTTTTCTTCCCAAAGGATGTTGGAGAGTAAAATGTTCTATAAAATCTGATTTTTAAAATTCTGGCCATAAATTTTACTTTTAAAACATTGCCCCAAAATATGCCTGGGGACACATTTGGCTTTTTTAGGGTGACACCTTGTAGCCTCTGATACCAGAAAACTGTCCAGAAAGACCCTGAGACATCAGAAGAGAAACTGCATGCTTTTGCCTCCTGGACCTGAGATCAAACTTGGTTAGGGGGCCTGGCTTTGAATTTGCTGGGGCCAGAATCCCACTAGCACCCCCACAATCTTGCACCCAGGTTTAAAATATAAATTCCATGGGTCACATTTACAAATAGCTCTTGAATGAATATATATGATTTTACATGAATGGAATTACATTGCATGTGCTTGATTTTTTTTTTCACCCAGTAATGTATTCACCTCAAATCGAACACAGCCCAACAGGCCCCTTACATTTCTTTTCATGCCTGCTCCTTTCCCATTTTTCTCGTCTCAGAAAGTCACGGTCAAGCCCTGGGAAGTTCCTGAAGTCCTGTCTTACCCTCCTGCCTCACCTTCACTCTCAGAGCAAGGTGCTGCTGATTCTGCCCGCAAAGCTTCCTCCACAGCCAGTCAAGTGCCAGCCAGGATCTCCCGCCAGGTGCAGCTAAGGGTCTCCCACTGGTGTCCCGCCTCCTTGTTAACTCCCCCAGATCACAGTCCAACAGAAGCACAGGGGCTGGAATATACTGCTGAAAATATTGCTCAAAAACATCATTGCTCATCAAGTTTGTGCCCAATAAACAGACATGTGTGATATTGTTGTTACTAACCTCAGTTTACTGCAGCTCATTAATCAAGTTGATTCATGGTCTGAGAGTTCAAGCAGCTAATGAGTACACAGCTATTTTAGTTTAAACCAATGTTGTGCAAAAGCTATTTATACTCAGTATAGAAAGATAGTGAAAGGGATCTTCCAGAAAGATACCAAGATGGAGAACACCCCTCAAAAATCCCAGCCTTGGCAGCCAGTGCTACGTAAGAATTCTCTGAGCATCACGTTGAAGGAGGGTAGCGGAGGTGGGGAGAGAGGCGTGGAAAAATCTTAAGATGTGGAGGATCTGTCTCATTTTCTTTGTGTCCTGAAATGTCAAAAGAATCTCTATATTGTGTAGCCCAGGGTGGGAGGACTCCCTGAATGTGGCAGATCCTTAAACACAAATATACCTTCTTAATTCCGTGGGGGAAGGCGTTGAAATTTGTGAACAGCGCTGAATATGAAGGGAAAACCAGAATTTTATTTCTGGCGTCATCATCACCAGAATTTGTATTGATTTCACCTAAGTTTGAGGAAGGAGTAACTATCAAAATACACTTGGAAAGGGGCCAGTGGGATTAGGGTCCACTGCCGGTGTTGCTGAAACATGGCCTCCGAACCCTGCTTACTGAGTTCAGACTCGAGTGCAGAGTTTTAGATGAAGCAGAAACGGCAGCTTTGTGTCTTTGCCAGGCAAAGGAGGTCACGGTGGGCTGATGCCTCTAAGACTGTGAGATTCCTCGGGAGAGAAGGCAGAGGGGTTTATAGTCGAAGTTTAAGAGTTCAAGGGTTGGAGCTACTCATCATAGAGTTCGCATACAGGGTAAAAAATTGTTGCAAAGTTGTTCTTGTTTTTGCTGATGCAGTGGTCCCCTTCCCTCTGCTGGGTATGCAGTTCACCTCCGGCTTTGACTCTGTTAATATTCCTGTACCTGGAACCAAGGATGCATAGGAAGGGGCTCCATGGGAAAATGCTTTAGAGGAAATCTGTCCAGTTTAAAGTCAGGCTGATAAATGCTTTTAGCCTTTTAAGCAGGCCGAGGCCTGGGACCTCCTGCTGCAGGCTGAGGCCTGCAACTCTAACGACAAGATATAAGGAAGGCACAAGGGGTCAAGAGGAGGGCACTGAGGTCAGGAGCAGGGCACTGAGCATAATCCCTGAATGCAGCACTAGCACCACAAGGGGACTGGGTAGACCATCTGAGCCTTCCTCCTTTCCAGCCTAACCCTGATCAGCAATAGCATGAGAAAAACCCCTTAACCATGACATAGTTAAGCAGTTACAAGCACCATTACAGATACCAGATGGTTACTGATGACAACAGAATCCTATTTGGTTATACCAAAGCCCTTAGAATATGTCCAGGCTAACTGCCACCTGGACCACATCCTCTGTGGGAAGAACCTAAAAGAAAATGTTTACTTGTAGCAGCTGCAGGATAAGGAAAGGGTTAGGTGTGACTGATCCCCACTTATTTCCCCCTTAGCCCCTGGCTCCAAGTTCCCAAAGAGCCCACAGTGCCCACCCACAGACTTGGATACAGCCCGCTTCCCAGGACCCATCACCTCGCCCTCTGCTCCCATTCTTGGATTTAGTATTTTTATGCCAGTTTGCTGTCCTGATCCCAACTTTCTGGGATGAAATGCCCTCAAAGATGACACTATCTCCTCTTAGCCACTCCAGTTTAATTTCTAAACACCACTCAGAGAAAAGTCTTTTAATCTCCCTTCCTCCCCATGAGAAAAATATGTATGTTACACCATCTGCGTCATTCACTAAGTCCCTTCAGGAATGGCCAACTCCACACTGAGCAGTGCCCACTGTTACTTCTCACTGTGATTTTTACCTGAACTCCTTCAGAGAAGCCTTGACTTAAGCCTGGAGGACCAACCACATCCCCAATTGCACTTTATTTGCTCCATGAATAGGCTCATGATCGGCTATGTTTCTGACAAGACACTTAAAATGACAACTTGAAACAGATAGTTTATTTTATTTCCACTGGAAATGACACTACCATCTTTATGAAGCTGTTTCAATTCTCAGTTATTTAATAATTTTGATATGGCCAAAATTCCCCAAGAATGCTGCTTTCAGGTTGAGGTTTTGTTTTTGTTCTTGCTTTTGTATAATGTCAGTAACTGAGCATCTAATTATCCCTTCCCTGCCTCACACCCAGAGCTGTAACTGTCCATATTAGTAAAACTCAATCAAAATTTGGGGAGTTAGTCCATGAATAAGTCCTTGACTCCACCCTTATTTCATCCTTTCTCTTTCATGAATGGACATCTGATGCAATCAATTTGTTGCAGCAAAGTGTGTTACAGCTCAGTGTTACAGCTCAGTTGTGACAGCAACCTGGATCCGGGCAAGAGACCAAGCAGCACACGGAAGGTTGGAGAACTCAGGTTTATTATGCCAGCGGGCCCAGAGGAGTTAACACTCCAAGCTCTGCACCTCCCCCCTGTAGGTTTACACAGGCTTTTATAGGCTGCCAGTCTAGACTTTGCAACATTGTATGCAAATAAGGTGTAACAAAAGTTGACTATTTAGTAACAAACTTTGTAGAAATGGACCAATCAGGAGTGAGCTCCATGGAAATGAAGTGCTACAAACGGACCAATGAGAAGTTAGCTCAGGGAACCAACAGAACGTTAGAGGTAAGTTCCACTTTCCTAGAAGGAAGCTGTTTCAGAGGCAAAAAGCAAGATAATGCCGCTGGGCCAGGGAACCGGATGGTCTGGCAGAAGAATAGTGGCCCTGCTTGGGGGTTGTGCCGGTCTTTTTCATGGGGCTTCCCACCTCAGATTCACTTGGATATTGTCAGTGATCCAGTCAGGATCAACAGAGTGACAGTCTGGAATCCAATCAGGTATGGCTTTCTGATTGGATGTTAGAAATTGAAAAGAGGGAGGCTAGGATTAGAAAGGTCTCCAAAAGCCTCAGGTGCCAAAGAAGAGATGACGATCTTCTGGCTCCAGAGTTACCAGCTGGACTCTGAAGGGGCCTGAGGTCTGCGCTCCCCTCCAACCAAATCAGAGCTGGTAAGTTACTGACCTCAGCTAAAGACACCCTCATTTTGCCTATGGTCAGCAGGTCTAGAATGGTGGCATGTAGCTCGGGACTGAAGGGAGAAATTTTTATTATTTCTTTTCAGATGAACAGATTAAAGATTTTGGTTTCTCCCTTAAATATAGCTTTGTCTTAATTCCAGACATTCTGATGTGTGCTTTGGTCTGTATCATTTTTTAAATGTCTTAACCAAGTAGTTTTTCTTAATAAAAAACATATTGTTGCTCAGTCCAAACTCGTCCTGCTCACCATACGACAGGCCGATAAATCGGGAGACGAGGTGTTGGGGGCAAGGAATAGCGACTTTATTCAGAAAGCCGGCAAACCGAGAGGATGGCAGAATAATGTCTTGGAGAACCATCCCGCTCTAGTCAGAGTACAGGCTCCTTTAATACAGAAAAAAACAAGGGGGGGGTGTGGTTGGTTGTTGCAAACTTCTTGCTGCAGGCATTCTTTGTTCTTGCAGCCATCCGGGGTCCACGTGGGCCCGGTCATGGCGTCCCTGTGAACTTCCAACAAAACAAAGGTTAGTCTCTATTTTGCAACTTGCCATCTCCACTTAAGTGCAGAAGTGCTAGTATCCTTAAAGGTCAGAGCTTGGAGAATAGGCTCTCCTATAAATTTCAGGCTAAAAGCAACATTGTTTAATAAAAGGTGCAGAGCCAGCAAAACTAAGCCTAGAAAACAGGGCACAGTGGTCAGAACTAAAGGAGCAGATCTAATATGCAGTCAGATTTGTCCTCCTCTATTACAATATAACATTTTAGAAGTTTATTTCTAGTCCTTTAAAAACTTTACTCTGCACACAGATAGCACTCATTTTCGGGGTATCTCCTTAACCTTTGCCAGCAAGGTTTACTTTGGGAATTGAGGATGGGGGCCGTGTTGGCCAACACGACTCTCCTGTTTCGGTAGTTTGGGCCCCAAGTAATGATCTGAAAGTCTCTCCCAGAGAAGATGAGGGTCGGCTTCCAGGCTCGCGGTGCAAGCTTCCACATGGGCTGTGAGTTAAGCAAGGCAGTGGGTAGAGGTGGATGGGCTGGTGGCTGCCTTTCTTCCTTCTTGGTGACTGTGAGATGCCTGTTCTGGTGCCAGAAGGGGCACAGCTACGTCTGTGTGCCCTCTGAACCCAGAGTGAAATCCAGACAAACTGAGTTTCTTTCATTCTGGTTCACCACTGCCAGAGCAGTGACTTTGGCCCTGAGCGGATTCCTCTAAAGGGTGGGGAGACAGATGAAGGTGTGCTCATGCTTAGCCTGAGAAAGATGCCTTGTTCCCTGACAGTTTAACAATATTGCTTTTGAAGTAGAGTCAGGATGAGTGACAGGACCCCACCCAGACTCCTAGACCTGGCAGCAATCAGCCTGCTGAGGGACGAAGCCTTGACCATCTCCACTTTGGAGTATCTGCCCACCGAGCTCTTCCCATCACTGTTCATGGGGGCCTTCTATGGGAGACGCATGGAGACCCTGAAGGCCCTGGTGCAAGCCTGGCCCTTTGTCTGCCTGCCTCTGGGGGGCCTGAGGCAGAAGCCTCACCGAAGGACCTTACAAGCCGTGCTGGATGGGCTCGATGTCCTGCTTGCCCAGGAAGTTCGCCCCAGGTGAGTCTGATCCAGGTGGCTGGTAGGGTCCTGGGCGTTCCTGAGGAGACAGCTGGGGTCAGGAGAGTGGCTGGCCAAGGGATGGGCCAGAGGCTCTGATGATGCCAATGAAGAAGCTCAGATGTCTTGGCCACTGCTAAGCTCACTTTGGGAAATGCCTTCCAGAAGTGTAGGAGTGCCTAACATGCAGGGGACCTTAAAGAGCATGCACTTACCTTCTTCTAGTGATGCTGACAGTCTTGGAAGTGGAAAACCAGAAAGGATGGTAGGGAAGGAGATGGAGTCAGTGAGGCAGAGAGGGAAGAAGAGGGCAAGGCAGCAGGGGTGTCAGGAATGTGAAGTAAAAGCACAGGTGGGAAGTCTGAGTGTTGCCTAAATTCTGAGACTCTGGTTTTACTCAGTGGATCTTAAAAGCATCCCAGCCAATCTGCTGTTTCCCCACAGGAGGTGCAAACTGCGAGTGCTGGATTTACAGAATACCGGCCAGAACTTCTGGAGAATGTGGTCTGGAGCCAAGGCCGGAGGTGGTTCAAGCTCATCCATGGCACCAGTGACTGAGAACAGTTCAAGCACAGAGCAGCCCTTAGCCCCTTTGAAAGTGTTCATAGAACTTCACCTCAAGAAAAGGACCCTGGGTAAATTCTTCACCTACCTCATCAGGTGGGTGGAGCAGAAAAAAGGATCCGTACATCTGTGCTACAGGAAGCTGGAGATTGTTTCAATGCCGAAGGAAAATATTAAGGAAGTCCTGAGCATGGTGCAGCTGGACTGTATCCAGGAAGTGGAGCTGAATTGCACCTGCAAGCTGTCCACCCTGGGCGTCTTTGCTCCTCTCCTGGGGGATATGATTAATGTGCAGAGACTCCGTCTCTCCCATGTCCACGTGTCTTCCTTTGCGGAGCAGGAGCAGCAGCAGCACGTTGTCCAGTTTACCTCCCAGATCCTCAGGCTGCACCATCTCCGGGACCTCTGTATGGAATCTCCCTCCTTCCTCGAAGGCCGCCTGGACCAGATGCTCAGGTGAGGGTGGCACCACTGGCCAAGGAACAGTGAACAGAACACTAGAACCACAAATGGATTATCTTGTTCGATGCTCTATCCCAGAGTGCAGTATTACATAACCACGAAATAAAAGTGTGGGACTCACTGGGATAGAGGCTCTGGCAAGGGACACTGTGCTAGGAAGCTGTAAATTAAGGGATAGAGAAATAGTGAAGATGGGTATGTGATTTCATCTTTAGGAAGAGATATTTGTGCTCAGATGACTTAGAAAAATAGGTAAGTAAAGAGGATATCGAAAAGGGGAAACAACATCAGACCTGAGCATTTATAAAAAGAAGCTCTGTGTTCACCAAGTTTGTGACCACAATGAGCGTGTCTTAAAATCCCTCTCTGTAAAAGATTGTTTTGTGCTCTAGGTAAGGTAGTTAATAGATGAGAAATGCATGATTCTGGAGATGATGATAAGAGAGTTGGAGCCAAAAGGATAATAAAAAGTGGTAACTTGCTTTCAGATGATGTAGGGATGTGAGTCCCTGCAGACTGGCAACCCCAGTTGATGTTGTAGGATCTTGCCCAGGTTGGCTCTTCATGCATGTCTCCCAAGAGCCTCACCTGGCAAGAGATACGAGTGCCTGGTGCCCAAGCAGGGGACTGAAGGAAGCCTGAGTTGAAAGCATTTTTTTGTCTATCTCCCAATACTAAATTTGATTGATGCCCTCTCTTGACTGAGACTCTGTATCAGGCTCTCCCTGAGCATGCTGCTTTCGCGCATGCCGTCATCCACATTCACCCTTGTGAAGAAGTGGGATGTGTTGTCCTCTGCTTGACAGATGAGGAAAGAGAGCTTTCAAGATTCTGTGAATTTGACCCAGACACACAAAGAAGATGACAGGACTCAGCCTAAAATGAGACTGGGCATTCTGGGTATTGACCTTCATCAGATGGTCAGAACAACCTCGGCTTTGGGCAAATCATTTATCTCTAATTGCTTGGTTTCTCCCCAGGTGCCTGGTGACACCCTTGGACAACCTGGCAATAACCAACTGCCTGCTTACAGAATCAGACTTGACCCACCTGTGCCAGTGCCCGAACGTCAGTCAGCTAAAGAAGTTGAAGCTGAGTGGTGTCACCCTGACCGATTTCAGTCCTGAGCTCCTCCAAGTTCTGCTGGAGAAAGTTGCAGCCACCCTGCAGGAACTGGACCTGGACCTGTGCAGGATCTTGGACCCACATCTGGAGGCCATCCTGCCCGCCCTGAGCCGCTGCTCCCAGCTCAGGTCTCTCAGCATATGTGGAAACTTCTTCTCCGTGGCCGTCATGGAGAAGCTACTGAGTCACACCACTGGGCTTCTCAGTTTAAGGGAAGAGCTGTACCCTGTCCCTCTGGAGAGTTACAGCTCTCAGGGCGTTCTCCTCCTGGAGAGGCTTGTCCCTCTACAGAATGAGCTGTTGGAGATGCTGAGAAACTTAGGACGTCCCAGGTCCATCTGGATTAGCCTCAGGCCCTGTCCTTACTGTGGTGATGACAAATGTGTCCACATGGAGCCCGCTCTGTAATGCTGTAGTCCTACGGCCTGGTTGCTTGCTTCTGTACAAAGCTATTCTGGGCACTTGGGTACTGAGGCCTTGGACATAGTTGCACCTTGAAGGAAGCAGAGACCCGTGGTTTCAGACATCTTCTCAGTGTGAATGGGAAAAGGAAAGGTGATCCAAGAGAGGTATAGGACTACAGGGGAGATATTGACTTGGAGAGTTGATGGGACTTTTGGGGACACATGTCTTACAGAGTCAGAAATATGAGCCAAAATTTCTGGCGGGGATTCAGGCTTGATGAACACATATTGGAGTTATCTCTGGATGGTTGGCTGTAAAGAAATAAAGAGACCCTCAGTGTAAATAGACTGGTGCTCTCCGTGGTATATTATCCTGTTTTCCCAGTTTATACCTCGAGAGTTTCCAGCTACCAATAGAAAAAAAAGGTTTGGATCATAGACTCATTTGCATGATTGGCAATAGCCAAGATATGGAAACAACTTTAGTGCCCATCAAAGAATGATGGAAAAATGTGATATACATAGAAAAATATTATTCAGCTATAAAAAAGTAGAAAATCCTGCCATTTTTGTCATGAGGGTGTTTTCGTCATGTCTTGAGGGCATTATGCTAAGGGCAATAAGTCAGAGAAAGACAGAAGTTGTACAATATCACTTATATGTGGGCTCTAAAAAGATAAAATCATAGATATAGAGAACAGATGGTGGTTGCTAGAGGCGGGGGGGAGCATGGGGAAAATGGTGATCAAAATGTACAAACTTCCAGTTATTAAAAAAAAAAGTTATGGGGATGTAATGTATTGCATGGTGACGAAAGTTAACAATACTCTATGGTGTATTGGAAAGTTACTAAGAGAGTAGATCTTAAAAGTTCTGATCCCAAGAAAAAAATGTAGCTATTTGAGATGATGGATGTGAAACATACTGTGGTACTTATTTTGCAATATATAGATATGTCAAATCATTAGGCTGGACACCTAAATGAATATAATTTGTATACAAATTACATTGCAATAAAGTGGAATAAAATTATTCTGGGGAAATATGCAAAAGCAAGACAGAAAAAACAAATAATAAGAACAAGGCTTTTATGATGGAAAAGACAGAAACAGATATTTGCATTTCTGATCCATTTAGCTGGATAAACGAATGGAGGCAACAGAGAAGGAGTAGAGAGAGCGGGGCCGTGTCTCCCTGTGCTGCCCCTCACCTCTCAGACCGCACCCAGCGTGCTTGGATGTTGTGCTCAGGATTCAGTAACAATATAAGGAGGAAAGGCTTGTCACCTAACGTTCTCACCAGCAGGGAAAAACCACCGCTTTTATTTTTTCTAAACTTCCTTCCTGCATCAGCAGTTCTCAAATGTTCAGTCTCAAGACTCCTTTATTATTTTAAAAATGTATCAAAGATCCTAAAGAGCTTTCGTGTGCGGGGGTTATATTGATCGATAGTTAACCAATTTCATAAAAGTGGGGAAATTTTAAAACTTCTTCATTCAATTATGCATGACAATACTGAACCCAATACATGTAAATATAAAATATTTTCCCTCAAAGTAGTTATGTTTCCCAATATTAAAAAAAAATAGTGTGAAGTGTGTCATTTAAAAATATGACAGCTTTATTGTGATATAATTTACATAGTACACAATTCGGTACATATTAGAAGGGCTTTATTATGGCAGTGCGCTTGCAGGAATTGAGGAGACAGCAAAGCCAGTTTTATAACTCAGACAGAGTTTTAGTGGTGAAAACAAGATATAATTCTGAGTCTAAGGCCAAAGGCTTGAGAACTGGGGCACCGCTGTTGTACATTCCGGAGTCTCAAGTCTCAAGAGCCAGAAGCTCCAATGTCCATTGGGAAGAAAAGAAAGAGGGAAAGAATGTTCCATCTTGCATTCAGTCCCCCAAGGAATTGGATGATGCCCACCCACACTGGTGAGGGCGGATCTGTTCACTGTCTCCAGATTCAGATCCTAATCTTTTCCAGAAACGCCATCCCAGAAACACTCAGAATTAATGCCACATAAAATTAACCATCACAGGGACCATAAACAGTTTTGTCTCTTTGCTAGAAACTTCTGATATGTCGCTCTGTGCATCCATTCGCCTCCCGAGTTCTCTGGGCATCTTCACGATTGTTACCCTGAACTCTTTCTTGCATAGATTGCGTATCTCCTCATCACTTCGATCTTCTGGAGGGATTTTATCTTGTCCCTTTACCTGGAGCATATTCCCCGGCCACCTCGTTTTGTCTAAATTTCTATTCGTATTTTTATGTGTGTGGAAGGATACTTATGTGGAAGAAGTAGGTGACGGTCTGTGTGTCCCAGCGGCGCGCTCCCCCCTAGTCACCCAAGGGCTGAGGGCCAGCTGCTCCCAGGGAAGATTATGGACTGAGTTTTTGGACTTGATCCACAGGATTATTGATTTCTTGCTTCTGATGTCTGTCCCCGTGGGAAAGACTGGACAAGAGGCTTCTGCAGGCTTCCTAGTGGGAGGAGCTGGTTGCCTGCCCGCTGGTGGGTGGGGCTGGGTCCTGGCATTCTGGTGGGGCAGTGCCATGTTTGGTGGGGGGGGATGCCTCAAGGGGCTGTTGTCTCAAAAAGTCCGTAAGTAACCTATCTGCTGATTCGTGGTGGTGTGTTTCCACCCAGGGAGCCTTTGGCCTGGGGCATCCCAGCACTTAAGACTACAGGCTGTTGGGTGGGGCCAGGTCTTGGTGTTAACAGCCAAAGGCAAAGACAGCCTCCAGGAAAGTTCATGCTGAATACTCTCCAAACATCCTCCACCCACATTTATGTCCCCAGGGGGAGCCACAGCCACCCTCCTCCTCCCCAGGAGATGTTCCAAAACCAGCAGGCAGGTCTGGCCCAGACTCCTGTGAAATCACTAGTTCCACCCTTAATGCTGGTGCGCATAAGATTTTTGTGCGCTCTTTAAGAGTCAAGTCTCTGTTCCCCAGGTCCTGGGGAGCTCCTGCAGTTAAGCCCTGCTGGCCTTCAAAGCCGGATTCTCTGGGAGCTCCTCTTCCCAATGCCGGACCCCCAGGGTGGGGAGCCTGACATTGGGCTCAGAATTCTGTGGGTAAGCCTCTGAGATGTAATTATTCTCCAGCCATGGTTTGCCCAGCTGGGGTTTGTGGGAGCCAGTTGAATCACGAGATCACCCCTCCTGCTGTCCAGCTGTTGTTCCCTCTTTGTGTCCCCAGTTGAAGATCTTTTTTGGTAGTTTCCAGTCTTGTTTATTGATGCTGTTCAGCAGTCTGTTGTGGTTTTGTTGTGTTCATGAGAGGAGGTGAGCTCATGGTCCTACTCCTCCGCCATCTTGACCAGAACTCCTGGCCGCCTAACCCTTACCTCACATTCTCAGACTAGTCTTTTCAAGCTAGTTTGCTAAGCTGGTCCCATCTTTCTGGGAAAAAAAATCCCCAACATTCTCAATGAGGAGACTGCCTTTTAATTACTAAAATCCAATCAGAGAAAAAAAATCTCCCTCCTAACCAATGGGAAAAATAGACCCGTATTATATTCTGTCTTAGGTCATTCACTGGGTCCCTTCAGGAATGCCCAGCTCCACACTCCCCAACCCCTTCCCTTACTTCTCATTGTGATTTTGACCCGACCACCTTCAGAGAAGCCTTGACTGAAGCCTGGAGGACCAACAACATGCCCAGTTGCATTTCTTTCGCCTCCTGAACTAGCTCAGGACCTGCTATGTTATCTCTATCATTTAATTGACACTTTGACACAAGGACACCTTTGTAATGTTTCCTTTGGAACAACACCATTGTTTTCAGGAAGCTGTTTTAATTCTGGGACATTCTGACAATCTTGATACAGCCAAAGACCCCCCCCCCCAAATAATGCTCTTCATTTTGGTTTTGGTTTTGGTTTTTTCTAATCTCAGGAAGAGATGAAACTCTTCCCTGTCTCACACCCAGGGCTATAACTACCTGTATTAGTGAAACTCAATCAAGCTTTGTGGAGTGAATCAATGATTAAATCCTTGACTCCTTCCCCCTCCCTACTTTTTCCAGGACATGCGCCCTATAGAGTCAGAAATAAGAACTTAAACTTCCTTAGGGGGCACAGGCTTGAGACACACCTGTTGGAGTGATCCCTGCATGGGTGGTGGAAAGAAATGGCCAGAAATAAAGAGACCCTCCTTATAAACTGACTGTGGCCCTCCGTGCATTTTTCTGTTTTCTCAGTTGATACCTCAGGAATCTCCAGCTATTGATGAAAGAAAGAAAAAAAAAGGCACTGAGTTGTCTATGCCTTGCAGCTCTGCCACTCCCTCCAGTTCTTCATTCTGTCCAGGGCATCTCTTACCTCCTTACTTATTTCTGTGGCTGTTCAATAAATTAAAGACACACCAAGGGGAACATACTCAGGGGCCAATGAGCCATTGGAGAGAAGAGCTCTTGGCAGGACCCTCAGTGCTGTCTCAGGCCATGACCCTGGACATGAGTGTTCCTTGTGGTTCTCCTGGTGGGTTCCTAATTCTCAGATCCTGGCCTTTGTGTGTGCTGGGAAAGGGCTTCGCTGCACAAGGCAAGGCCCCCAGTAATGGAAGGGGATCGTCCACCCTGCAGGTAAACTGGAGACTCTGGTCCTCACCAACCCATGGCTGTCATCAGTGGAGAGTATTCCTTTTTGAATTAATCCAGCTGTGGCCAGTAAACACATACAAATTCCTTTTCAGAAGTTCAAGGGACATCATTTACTTTCCAAGACCCCTGTCACTTTTGCTGACCAGGACTTTTGGTGGTGCTCCAGGAGATAGTGTGTGTTCCAAGAGTGGAGCATGGCGATGAAAAGGCAGCACGATGGCCAATTCAGGGACTGCCAGGCTGGCTGTGCGGCCCGGGTCTGAAGGAGGTGACGTAACGCATTCTATTGGCTCCCACCGTTGAGAAGTTTCCAGGGGGAGCTACCCCTCCACCCCAGACCCCAGGTTTGACCCAACCTACAAGACACACTTCAGGTTTATCTGCATCTCATATTTCTCTACATCCTGCCTAACTGAAGGTGAAACCTCAGGATTCATACTAAATATTATGCTAGCAAAGAAGGCATGTGGGTGGCCAACAGATACATGGAAAGATGTCCAGCATCACTAACCATGGGATACAAATCTAAACCTGAGTAAGATAACGTGTCACATCTTTTAGAATGGCTGTTATCAGAAAGATGAGAGAAACAAATGTTGGAGAAGATGTGGAGAAAAGGGAGACTTTGTGCACTGTTGTGGGGAATATAAATTGGTCTAGCCAATGTCAGTTCCTCAAAAAAAAACTATATATATATTATATATACACACACACACATTTAAATGTATAAAATAAAATCACTGTCTCAAAAAGATATCTGCAGCCCCAAGTTCACTGCAGCATTACTTACAGTAGCCAAGGTATGGAAACATACTAAGTTTCCATCAATGGATGATGGACAAAATGTGAATATATATATATATATGCCATAAAAAGAAGAAAATTCTGCCGTTTTCCACAACATGATTGGACCTTGAAGGGGGTGAGCTAAGTGAAATAAGTCAGAGAAAGACAAATACTTTATGATCTGACTTATCTGTAGAATCTAAAAACCTTGAACTCATAGATACAGAGAACAGACCGGTGGTTGCCAGAGGCAGGGATGGGAGCATACAGGGAAAATGGATGAAGGTGGTCAAAAGGTGCAAACTTCCAGGTATGAAATAATAAGTCATGGAGATGCATACAGAATGTGATAAAGTTAACAATACTCTGTCTTGCATTTGAAAGTGGCTAAGAGAGTAGCTCTTTAAAGTTCTCATCACACACAAAAACTTGTAACTATGTGAGGTGATGGATGCTAAGTAAAGTTATTGTGGTAATTATTTTGCAGTATATACATATATTAAATCATTATGTTGTGCACCTAAAACGAATAGAATGTTATACACCAATTGTATCTCAATAAAACCGGAAGAAATATTATTCTGGGAAAATATGCCAAATGGAAGAGAGAAAAAAATAGTAGAGACAAGGGTTTTACCATGAAGAAGACAATAATGAAAAATTGCATTTCTGATTTGCGCTGCTGTGTGAACTAAGACAGCCACTGAGAAGGAGTAGAGAGAGTGGGGCGGTGTCACCGTGCTGACCCTCACACACAGACCACACCAGGTATGCTTGGATGGTGGGTGCAGAATTAAGTAACAATAAAAGGGGAAGAGACTTGTCATCAAATTTTCTCAGCAATAGGGAAAAACCGCCACTTTTATTTTTTCTAGACTTTCTTCCTAGATCAGCAGTTCTCAGATTTTTGGTCTCAAGGCTCCTTTATGGCCTTCAAATGTATTGAGACTCCTAAGGTGCTTCAGTGTATGTGGGTTAAATCTATCAACATTTACCATATTCCTTAAAGTGAGAGAAGGTTAAAACTCATTTCCTAATTCAAGTATGCCTAACACTCTCAAACCCATTACATGTGAATGTGAACAATATATTTTGACAAAAATTAGTTGTTTTCCAAAATTTAAAAAAACCTAGTGTGAAGTGTCCCATTTTAAAACATACAACTCATTTATTGGGATATAATTTATATATTGTAGAATCCATGCAATTAAAGCAGAATTTTATTTCTGTGCCTAATGGCATGGCCTTGCTCAGAACCCGTGTTGAACTTACCTAAGCTTGAGGAAACAGTAACTTTCAAAATACACTTGGAAAGGGGCCAAGGGGATTATGGTTGGTCTCCCAAGGTCGATGGAAAAAGGTCCGTGGTTAAATTGCCCTCTGGGCAGCGTCCTCTGTGGGAAGACCCTAAAAGCAAGCATCTCCTGGTAGCAGCTGCCGTGATGAGGGCAGGGTTAGGTGTGACTGACCCATGTTTATTTCTCCCCTGGGCCCAAGTTCCCAAAGAGCCCGCAGCGCCCACCCTCGGTGGCTCTCGGACTGGGAAATGTCTGACTCCCCAGGGCTGGCTGCCTCCCTCTTTATTCACAGTCTCAGAATTTTAAATCCAATTTGTTGAGCTGATCCTACCTTCTCAGGAGAAAAGGGTTTCAAAGATAACACTGTCCCCTCTTAGTTACTCCCTTTTAGTTTCTAAACTCCATCCAGAGAAAATCCTTTTAATCTCCATCCTGTGGGATGGGGGGGGAACAACCCCCTATTTTACAGTGTCTGGGTCGTTCACAGGGTGCCTTTAGGAATGCCCAGCTCCACGCTGTCCAGTCCCCACCTTTATTTCTTATTGTGATTTTGACCTGGTGTCCTTCAGAGAAGCCATGACTTAAGCCTGGAGGACCAGCTGCATCCCCAAAAGCACTTCCCTTGCTCCCTGAACAGGCTCACTCACGATCTGCGATGTTACCCACATAACACTTAAGTGGCAACTTGACACAAGGACTATAACTACTGTCTTCAGGAAGCTGTTTTATTCTGGGACATTTTGACTATTTTGACCCCTCCAAAATAATGCTTTTGGTTTTCTTTTTCTTTTCTTTCTTTTCTTTTCTTTTTTGTCTCATATCAAGAACAGATTAAACCCTTCTTGTCTCAACCCAGGGCTCTAACTGTTCAGTTAGTAAAACTCAATCCATGTTTGTGGAGTGAATCCAGGAATAATTCCTTGACTCCCCCACCCATTCCTTCTCTTTCTTGAATGAATGTCTGATTAATCATTTCATCTGAAGGAAAACAAAATCCAATCAGGATTAACCTTTTGGACAGTCTGGAATCTAATTATGTACAGCTTTCTGATTGGAAGTTAGTATTTGGAAAGATGGAGGATGTGATTAGAAAAGTTTATAAAAGCCTTGGATACCAAAGAGAGATGCAGAATGAGTCTTTTTGTTCTGGATTCTCCACCAGATCTGAGGTCTGAGCCCTCGGCCAACCACATCAGAGCTGGTAAGTTACGGATTTTACTTAAGGACACTCCAATCTTACCTATGGTAAATTGGTCTTGAATGATGACATGCAGCTAGGGATTGCAGAAGATTTTGATTTTCTTTTTTCTTCCTTATCAGATGAGCAGATTTAAGGTTTTAGTTTTGCGTTAATCCCAAACATTTGATCTGTACTTTGATGTATATCATTTAAATAGCTTAACCAAAAATATCTTCTCAATGAAAAACCTCTAACTGGAATTTTATTTCTTGACATTTAAATACTTCCTGTGTGCACAAATTTGGCATTCATTTTCGGGGTATTCCCTTAATCTTTCCCAACTGGGCTAACTGTGGTTACTGAGGATAGAAGCTGTGCTGGTCCACAGGACACTCCTATTCCCATAGTTCTAGGCCATTAAGTGATGATCTGAAAGTTTTCCCCCAGAAAGGACTGGGGACAGGTTTCAGGCTCATGGTACCCACTTCCCAGTAAGACATAATTAACCAAAGATGCAGATGGAAATGGATAGGCTAGTGGATGCTAGTTCCATCTCCATGGTACTTGTGAGACACTTTCAGTGCCAGAAGGGGCAGAGCCATGACTTTGTGCCCACTGAGCCCAGAGTGGAATTTGGGTAAACTGAGACCCTTCCACCACGGCCAGAGCAGACTTTAGCCCTGAGTTGGTTC